ATAACCACTGTACAGAAACCTAGTCATTATTCGACGTTTAATCGAACAACCTGTACCGATACGACTATTTCATCATTTTTTCTATCGTTCGTAATTTCGCGTTGCCAATCGAACGCTTCGAGTTTTCCTATAGTTCTTCAATGGATCTCGTAACTCAGGGTTTCTCAACCATTTAGTTATATACTGTACTTGAGTTTATATTGTACTTACTTGTTATTTTTGCTTTTTTAAATGTTCTTTTTTTGAGGAATTCTAATATATTCACAAATTGTATTGTATATGTGAAGTTTGTATATGTGAAATCATATATTCTTATACATTTTTATATTTTTGATATTGAAAATTTCAAATTTCACATGTTATATATTTTTGTATTGACGATTTCAAAATTCTAGATGTTCAGCATTTATATATTCACACATTTTACAATTTTTAGTTTAGAAATTTTTATATACATATATATAAGTTGATTAAGATTTATGATCACAGAATCTATGATTTCTACAATTTTTAGATGACAGCGTCAAAATTCCCGGGTTCCAAATCTTCAGAGTTCTTAAATCTCCAAATTGCTAGAATTCCAAGTCCCTAAATCTCCAGAATCTCCAAATCTTCTAATCCCCAACTCTCTAAATCCCTATCTCTCTAAATCCCCAACTCTACAAATTCACAACTCTCCATATCCCTAAATCTTCAGAATCTCAAACTTTCCAAATTCCCAACTCTCTAAATCCCCAAATCTCTAAACCCCAACTCTCCAAATCCCCAACTCTCTAAATCTCCAACTCTCTAAATCTCCATCTGTCTAAATCCCCATTTCTCTAAATTCCCAACTCTCCAAATACCCAATTCCCCAAATTCCCAATTCCCCAAATTCCCAATTCCCCAAATTCCCAAATCTCCAAATCCCCAACTCTCTAAATCCCCATCTTTCTACATCCCCAACTCTCCAAATTCCCATCTCTCTAAATTCCCAACTCTCTAAATCCCCATCTCTCTAAATCTCCAACTCTCCAAATCCCCAACTCTCTAAATCCCCATCTTTCTACATCCCCAACTCTCCAAATCCCCATCTCTCTAAATCCCCAACTCTCCAAATCCCAAAATCTCTAAATCCCTAAATCCTCAGAATCCCCAACTCTCCAAATCCCCAACTCTCTAAAACCCCAACTCTTCAAATCCCCAACTCTCCAAATCCCCAAATCTCCAAATCTCCAAATCCCCAAAATTCCTCAAATTCCCCAAATCCCCAAAATTCCTCAAATTCCCCAAATTCCCCAAATTCCCCAAATTCCCCAACTCTCCAACTCTCCAACTCTCTAAATCCCCAAATTCCCAAATCTCCAAATCTCCAAATCCCAAATCTCCCACCCCAAATTAAAAAATACCCGAGTTATAAAACTCCTACTAACGATAATCGCGCATCGTTATCGATTTATCGCGATAGTGGGAAGCGATTTGTTGTTCCGGTCGGTTCAGCGAGGTACCTCGAGTTGGTTGCAGACTCGATGGATGGCTTCCGCGATACCGTTCGTCAGGTCGAGTAACGAGCTGCGGTAACCGCGTTGCATTCCAACCTTAGAGAACGGAGGCCCTCGTATGAAGACGTACGAGTGAATAAACCATTCTGAGGGCCAGTTTATTAACAAACCACCGCTGCAAGCGCGTGCGGCCGCGAACGACCCGCGCAATTTTACGAGACCGCAACGGTAGAGTCCTGCTAGGTATACTCTGACTACTTCCTTTCTTCTTTCGCAGAAAAATCATTTACCTTTTCACTCTTTCTAGCTTCTTTCTTTTTTATGTGATACTGAGTAAATATGATGATATAACTGGTGTACTGAATTGTTCATAAAAATTCCTATGAAAATATCACATAGGTGATATGCATACATGATAATCTTTAAGACTGTATCTTTAATTAAGTTTATACAAAATAACATAAATATGTTATTGGAAATGTAAAAATTATAAAACTATATACAGTCAGTGTAAAAAGTATTCGTACAGTAATTAATTTCAACAAAAATGTTGTGAAACGTCATTTATTAACAAAATTTGAACAAATAAAAAATACATACACATTCTTACATAGAATACATAGACATCTAAGAATATGTATGTATTTTTTATTTGTTCAAATTTTGTTAATAAATGACGTTTCACAACATTTTTGTTGAAATTAATTACTGTACGAATACTTTTTACACTGACTGTATATAATTTAATGGGTGAATATTTATTATACTATGTCGTTAATTAAAATTATACAATATATTATTAAATCAAAATTAAGTGATTTTAATTGTAATGTAATTCTATTTGAAAGAAGATTTAACGAACCGACTAAAAATAAGGCGCAGAAAAGTTTAGCATCAAAGTTACAGATCTTTTAACGTTATTAATCATCTCTCAGATATCGTTAAAAAAACTTAGATCGTAAAGTTCGCATTTTTTTAGTAATCAAACCGTTTAACTGCGTCACGGATCGTTATATTTCCTCCTTCTTTGAATCTCGACTTCATATGCTACGATAATGTATGCTTGCGCGTGTAACGTGCACGTGTTTCCACGTGCTCTTGCGTACCACTTCATCATGTATGCACTCTATACAAACTTTCGTACATTTATTCTTGGGTTACATAATCGACTCTTTCATTATTCGATTACTAATTTCATCATTTCTGTGTTTGGCAATTTTTGAAATTGTAAGTGGTCAAATTTAGAAATTTTTAGTCTGATAAATTTTTTGATTTGTAAGTTATCAAATTTTCAAGGTTTTGAATTCTTGAGTTTTCGAATTTTTATGTTCTCAAATTTTCTAATTTTCCATTTTTCCTATTTTCCTATTTTCCTATTTTCCATTTTTTCATTTTTTCATTTTTTCATTTTTTCATTTTTCCAATTTTTCCAATTTTCCAATTTTCCACATTTCCAATTTTCCAATTCTCCAATTCTCCAATTCTCCAATTCTCCAATTCTCCAATTCTCCAATTCTCCAATTCTCAAATCCCCAAATTCTAAAATTCCTTAATTCTCAAATTCCCCAAATTCTCAAATCCCCAAATTCTAAAATTCCTTAATTCTCAAATCCCCAAATTCTAAAATTCCCTAATTCTCAAATCCCGAAATTCTCAAATTCCCCAAATTCTCAAATCCTCAAATTCTCAAATCACCAAATTCTCAAATCCCTAAATTCTAAAATTCCCTAATTATCAAATCTCCAAATTCTTAAATTCCCCAAATTCTCAAATCCCTAAATTCTAAAATTCCCTAATTCTCAAATCCCCAAATTCTTAAATTCCCCAAATTCCCAAATCCCCAAATTCTCAAATTCTCAAATTCCCAAATTCTAAATTCCCTAATTCTCAAATCCCCAAATTCTCAAATCCCCAAATTCTAAAATTCCCTAATTCTCAAATCCCCAAATTCTCAAATTCCCCAAATTCTGAAATCCCTAAATTATCAAATCCCCAAATTCTCAAATCCCGAAATTTTCAAATCCCCAAATTCTCAAGTCCCCAAATCCTCAAATCCCTAAATTCTCAAATTTCCCAATCCTCAAATCCCCAAATTCTAAAATTCCCTAATTCGCCTTAATTTCAATTCCTACAAACCTGACAACACACCAAGAAATAATTCAATCCAACCTCCAACCACAATCATGCAAATAATTTCATCAGAATCCCGCGAAAAACAAAAAATTCATAATACGTACATTCGTCTGTAATTGTCGAGAATGATTGAATTGTAACGTGAAAAAAAAAACACGCATAATGGACGATTCTCATTGAACGCAGGTAAACGTGTCAGATATCCCTAATAGATATGCATTGCTGATTATGTAAAGCGGTTGGTATCGTTAGCAGCCCGTGTTAGGTTCTGTTCCAGAGTGTGCGCAGAAAATGATTGCGCGTGGAAGAAGTTATATCCGCAAGATGGGGGCCATGATAACGTTTAATGGTAGGTGTTGTCCGATTAATTTGTTGCTAGAGATCGGAACATCTTTACGGTGTCTGGGCACGAAATCAACGCCGATGGAAAGTGATCGGGCGAAAGTGCACGTGCAATATCGAGGATGAATCTGTTCGAGTAGATCTACGGTCGATCTTGAAACATCGGGCTTGTACGGTGGGGAATAATTAGATTCGGTCGATCAAGTTAATTAACCACATATTTGTTTTCGTTATCTCTTTATATCGTGTGTGTGTTCTACGAAAATTGTTCTTGGGGAGTTTTATTTCGGTCGATTGTTAATTTGAGAATTTGAGAATTTGGGGAATTAGGGAATTGGGGAATTTTAGATTTGGGGAGTTTGAGAATTTGGGGAATTAGGGAATTGGGAATTTTAGATTTGGGGAGTTTGAGAATTGGGGAATTTGAGAATTTGGGGAATTAGGGAATTGGGGAATTTTGGGTTTGGGGAGTTTGAGAATTGGGGAATTTAAGATTTGGGGAGTTTGAGAATTGGAGAATGTGAGAATTAGGGAATTTGAGATTTTGGGGAATTAGGGAATTGGGGAATTTTAGATTTGGGGAGTTTGAGAATTTGGGGAATTAGAGAATTTGGGAATTTTAGATTTGGAGAGTTATGAGAATTGGGGAATTAGGGAATTGGAGAATTTTAGATTTGAGGTGTTTGAGAATTGGGGAGTTTGAAAATTGGAAAATTTGAGTATTTGGGGAATTTGAGAATTTGGGGATTTGAGGATTAGGGTATTTGAAAATTAGGAAATTTGAGAACTGGGAATTTGTTAATCAAGAAATTTGAGCACTGATAAATTTGAGAATTGAGGAATTTCAGAATTGGAGATTTAACCCTTTAAAAATATGTAAATATAAGAATTTTACAATTCAAAAATTTGATTACTTGAGAACAAAAGTAACCTTGATACTCTCAAAAATATCTCCCTTACTATTCACCAAAAAATATAAACTAAAATTTAAACTAGTAAAAGAACCCAATAAAAGTTCTTAGGTAAAATAGTATAATTACAAACCTGGTGCAGCGCCGTGGGTGGATGATGATCTTGCCTGGGTGTGACTGCGTCGGCGCCGATGCCAGAGTCAGGGCTGGGAAGATCAACGGTCAGGACTTTGCTGCTGCTCGAGGACGAGCGTATCGCGTGTGTCGTCGCGTAAGAGCTTGGCACAACCTCGTACCTCGTGTACGAAGCGGTCGTGGTGGACAACGAGGACGAACTCGAGGAGGCCAAAGGTGGTAGAGCGTCGCCGGTCACGTAGACAGCTGTCGCCTCCTGGTGCAATCCGCTCGGGTTTCCAGTGTTCGCTGTTCCTGTCGCCGAGGTGGACGTGTACGCTGTCGACTGGAGACGTGGACTGCACGAGCTGTAGGGGTCGTAGGGACTTCCGTACTGTTGTACCTGGAATTTCATTTTTAATTGTATCAATAGTATCAATAGGATCAATAGGTTCAATAGAATCAATAATATCAAGAGTATCAATAGAATCAATAGCATCAATAGTATGAATAGTATGAATAGTATGAATAGTATCAATAAAATCAATAGTATCAATAGTATCAATAGAATTAATAATATCAAGAGTATCAGTAATATCAATACTATCAATAGTATCAATAGTATCAATAGAATCAATAATATCAAGAGTATCAATAATATCAATAGTATCAATATTATCAATAGCATCAATGGAATCAATAGTATCAATAGTATCAATAGTATCAATAGTATCAATAGTATCAATAGTATCAATAGTATCAATATAATCAATAGTATCAATAGTATTAATAGAATAAATTACATCAATAGTATCAATAATATCAATAGTATCAATAGAATCAATAGTATCAATAGAATCAATAATATCAAGAGTATCAATAGTATCAATAATATCAATACAAACAATTATATTATATTGTTAATAATAAAATGCCAAATCAGATTCAATTTCAGTTTCAAACTCATATAGAATACTTATTCACACTTTAATTTGTAGTTTAATACACTTATTGTCACATAATAACATTAATCCCTTGCACTCCTTTATTTCTTTGACCAACTCTTTAATTTACAAAATCAAACTGCACATCGATTTAAAGAACTTCAATAACATATGACAATAACACTAAACGTAGAAAGTTATAGGAACATACTGCAGACAACCCTGTTCATGATCAACCTCCTAACAACTAACTCACTTTAGTACTACATTTGCAAATAAATAAATAAATTTTGTAAAAATGTTTTCCTTAAAATAAAATCATAGACCCCAGAGAAAGACCTAAATATTAAATTAGCAGTGAATGAAGTAATTTGATATCTCACCTGTATCTGATGTTGAGGATGATGGTACATGCCCGGTGGCGTAGGACTATCAGGCTGCGCGTGTTTGTGCCTCTTGCTAGGCTGTTGTGCACCCCTGGAGGAGCTGAGGTCTTCAGGTTCGCGTTTGACCCCGGCGATACCGGCGCTCGAGGAGCCGTCGTGTCTGAGCGACTGCGGGCTCAACGGAAGCGGAAGGCCACCCTGAAGACTCTGGCCGGGACTGTGGGATTGCTGGTTATACTGATGTAGGAAGTGGTGAAGTTCCCCTCCACCGGCACCTTCGCCACCTTCCATGCGATTCGTCGATCCGGAACCGGACCCAGGCGCCTCCTGCACCAGCAGCTTTTGCCCCATCACACCCCTTCAACAGTCCGTGGAGAATCGACCTTTAGCAGTGCTTCTTTGTGCCACGACCTTCGTTTCTCCGATCGATTGCTCTAAGTGCGTGTGGCGAATCGGGGAACGAAGTTCGTTGCGATTATTGCAGATTTTTCGTTGTTGGAATGTTTAAGAAAATTCAGAGTAACTTGAAAATTCAGCAATTGTAGGAAACATGAAATAAAAATGAAGAAACCTTCATAAAGAAGAAAACTTCATAACCTAACACTTTTTAAGAACAAACTTTGCAAAGTTCTTAAAAATTGGATCTGCAAAAGCAATATATGCAATGTATTACCTACAATATCAATACAATATGAATCAGTCTATCATATCATCAATATCTACTAATATTAATCAGTCTATCATATCATCAATATCTATCAATATTAATCAATCTAACATATCATCAATATCTACTAATATGAATCAGTTTATCATATCATCAATATCTACTAATATTAATCAGTCTATCATATCATCAATGTCTACCAATATTAAGAAATCTATCATATCATCAATATCTATCAATATAAACTAGTCTACCATATTATCAATATCTACCAATATAAATCAGTGTATCATATCATCAGTATCTACCAATATCAATCAGTCTATCATACCATCAGTATTTACCAATATTAAGCAATCAATCATGTGATCAATATCCAGCAATATAAATCAATCTATCATATCATCAATATCTATCAATATTAATCAGTCTATCATACCATCAATATCTACCAATATTAAGCAATCTATCATATCATCAATATCTACTAATATAAATCAATTTACCATACCATCATTATGCACCAATATTAATCAGACTATCATATCATCAATATCTACCAATATTAAGCAATCTATCATATCATCAATATCTACTAGTACAAATCAATCTACCATATCATCATTATGCACCAATATTAATCAGTCTATCATATCATCAATATCTACCAATATAAAGCAATCTATCATATCATCAATATCTACCAATATTAAGCAAACTATCATATCGTTAATCTCTAAACAAATCTATATCAAAGTATGATTAATACACAGTATGTCGGAAAAATAACGGAACATTTTTTCAGATCAACGAAGAAATCATTGAATTTCCGTCGACACGTTTGTCATTGTTTTTCGGAAAGATTCCCCGTGATACGATAATTACGGTCCTTTACGATCTTTCCAGTAGAATCTTCTCGTGGGAAGCAATAAAACGTTAATATCGTATTAGCTAACGAGCAGAGCGATTTATCGTGCAGAGTATAGCATTTATGATGAGGCAGACGATCGACAACGCGACGCGTCGACGGTACATTTGTCATCGCTTTGCCTCTATGACGATATCATCGGTGCCGTGTATGTATAAGCTATAATTAATTCATAGATTTTCAAGGTCCGTCACGGCGAATAAATGCGTAATGTGTCTCATCAATAACGTTATGGCGTGGCTGTTTCGCAATAGTGGCTTTTCTCGATAAAAATCAGACAAAGACAGCCGCGGATAAATATCAATGGTCTCTAATCATTACTAAATATAAACGATAAGCATGATGCGTGCGTTCCTTTCCATTCCCTATCAATTATGCGTCGATTAATACTGCGAACGTTATTTTTTTACGTACGGAGTGATTTATATGAATGAAGATGCGAAATTGGTTGGATTGATGTGAAGTAGAGATGTGGAGAAATTTTATGGAAATGGCTGTTGTATATTGTTGATAGAACAATTTTTATTTGGGGGATTTTTAATGCAACTGGGTGCGAGCACATATAAATCAATTTACTAAATCATAAATATTTATCAATTTACTGTATCATCAATATTTATCAATTTACTGTATCATCAATATTTATCAATTTACTATATCACCAATATTTATCAATTTACTATATCATCAATGTTTATCAATTTACTACATCATCAATATTTATGAATTTACTATATCATCAATATTTATCAATTTACTATATCATCAATATTTATCAATTTACTATATCATCAATATTTATCAATTTACTATATCATAAGTATTTATCAATTTACTATATCATCAGTATTTATCAATTTACTATATCATCAATATTTATCAATTTATTATATCATCAATATTTATCAATTTACTATATCATCAATATTTATCAATTTACTATATCATCAGTATTTTTCAATTTACTATATCATCAATATTTATCAATTTACTATATCATCAATATTTATCAATTTACTATATCATTAGTATTTATCAACATTAATCAACGTAAAATATCATCAATATCTACCGACAAGAATCAGTTTATCATATCATCAATGCTTGCCAATATTAAGCAGTCTATCATATTATCAATATCTGTCAATATTAAGCAATCTAACATATCATCAATATCTACTAATATTAATCACTTTATCATATCATAAATATCTACCAACATTAATCAGTCTATCATATCATCAATGTCTAAGAATATAAATCAATCCAGCATATCATTAATATTCGCCAATATAAACCAATCTATTATATCATGAACATGTACCAATATTAATCAATCTATCATATCATCAATATCTATCAATATTAATCAGTCTATCATATCGTCAAAGCCTATCTATATGAAACAATCTATCACATTGTCAACATCTACCAATATTAATCAGTCTATCATATCATCAATATCTACCAATATTAATCAGTCCATCCTATCATCAATATCTACCAATATTAATCACTCTATCATATCATCAATAAGTACAAAAATAAATCAATCTATCGCATCATATGTAGAGACCCAATCTACCATACCGTAAATATTCATGAACCTCCGCGATCATGAATATCAACGCAAAGCAGCAAAAGTAGTCTCCATCGAAACGAGTCCGCGTAAAGCCACCGCCTAAACCAACGAAATCAATTTCCCCCAGTTTACGCGTCCCGTCGGAGTCTGGGAACGCGTTATCTGTTCCGCAAGCATATCCTCGCGTCGTCTCGCGTCGCATCTGCCCGTGCAATAAAATTTTTCGGGCGCGGAAACGCGATTCGTCGAACGGTCGGTATATGTGAATCGAGAGAGGATCGGCCATTATGCGAAGTAGTTAACATGTTATATTTAGCATGATAATACGTATCCACAATACACGGGACCCTTATAAACTGCCAACGCTTCTCGGTGCATACGAGAGCCTCTTACCGTCCTTCCATTTCTCTCTTTTCACGATCGTTCCTCTTTTTTCATTCCCTTTTCTTCGTTATCCCGTTTGTACCGTCCTTGCCAGGTTCACCGGTCTCTCGTGTGTCTCCTGTGGTACCCTACCCTACGGTCAGATGCTCCCGTACAATGGCTCCTTTTTTTTACACTTGATACCTGATCTCCTCTCTCGTCTAACCCTTCCGTCTCTGTCTGCATCCTCGAGGAGGGGAGATTGTGACACGTCGTCGCCCTCGGCACACTTGTGCTTGAAGAGGTGCGGATAGGAAAAACGACCCCGTGAACCCGGACGCCTTTTCAGAGCTGCGACTGTCATAACCGGAGGCCATAGCACCGTCGTGCACCTCATGAATTCGGCTTACGTGAAATGGATCCAGCCACCGGACGATTCGTTCCGCGACGATTTAATGCCGCCGGTAATGCTATGCTAATCCCTGATGGAGGATCGAACGAAAATCGACTATGCTCACGAATATTTTACACTGCGCGGTCTCGGTACTTCTAACGTGTTAATCTTCTGGGACTTGCATGATAATGCAGGATATCGGAAGGAATGTTCAGAATCGAGAGCGCGGATTCGTGTTCCGAATATTTTAGCGAGTAGAGAGATTGCTGATCTCTGTACTTTTGGCTGACGTGTTAATCCTCTGGGACTTGCATGGTAATGCGGATATTTGGAGGAATATTTAGAATCGAGAGCGAGATTCAGTATTCGTGTTTTGAATATTTTAGTGAGATGTTATGTGTATGGAAAATGTAAGTTGGTTTGTGTATGGAAGATGTGTGTAACTCTGACGCGTTAATCTTTTGGGATTCGCATGATAATGTGGACTTCTCAAGGAAATGTTTGTGTTGTACAACAGTCATCGATTTCTGAAGCTTCACATACATGAACAAAAATTTTACACATACATTACACAAGTTTCACATATATGATCACACATGTTTCACATACATGACCACACATGTTACACATACATAATTACACATGTTTCACATACATCATTTCAGCTTCACATACATGATCACACAAGTTTCACATACATCACACATGTGTCACATGTATGATCACACATGTTGCACATACATCATACATGTTTCACATACATCATACATGTTTCACATACATGACCACACATGTTACACATACATCACTCAAGCTTCACATACATGATCACACAAGTTTCACATACATCACACATGTGTCACATGTATGATCGCACATGTTTCACATACATCACTCAAGCTTCACATACATGATCACACAAGTTTCACATACATCACACATGCTTCACATACATGATCACACAAGTTTCACATACATCACACATGTGTCGCATGTATGATCACACAAGTTTCACATACATCACACATGTGTCACATGTATGATCACACATGTTTCACATACATGACCACACATGTTGCACATACATGATCATACAAGTTTGACATACAATAATTAAAAACTTGGGAATGTAGGGACTTCTACAAGCAGAAAAGGAACCTTAAAAAATTCCAAAATCCACAAATACAAAATTTTAATTTGTAAATTTGTAAATTCATACAGCTAGATGTTTAGCAATCGAAAAATTCCAGACATTCGTAAAGCAAGTTATTTAAAAATTCCCATCGAAGTCGACAAATTAAAGAAATATTAAAAGTTGAAATCGCAGAAAATATTGCAACGGCTCGTGAATCAAGATGCTCATAACGATAGGAAATAGAGCGTTTATCAATCGTCGAACGACGCTTTCAGCTCCGAAGACGCAC